CAGCACGTACTCAGTCCAGAGCCCTCTGAACTCTGAGCTCTGATTAGGACAGAAGGAAACACCAGTCTGCACGGAGCCTGAAGAACAGGACGGTGGAGGGACTGGGGCACACAGGCTCTGACCCAAAGTGCTGGGAAGTGAGGATTGAGAGCTACAGGGCTGAAGCCGCTAGGAAGGTGTGAGGCTGGGGAGTGCCCGCCAGCGGGCGGAGCCTCAGGGTCTGGAGCTGTATTTATCCTCCTGGGGGGGAAAGGACAACAGGAGCTTGAAGATGTGACAGCATATAAGAGAGGCATTATTTTTGCTGCCCTGGATGGAAAGAATGTGGAGAAACCTGGAAACCATTCCTTGAGGCCTTTACAGAGCCTACATTAAAAGAGTAAAGATGAAAGAGCCTTCTTCTGCTCCAGGGGTAATGAGCACCGACCTTTGGGGGCTTGAGAAAGAAAAGCGTTAAAAATATAGTGACTGTAGTGCTTCCAGCTCCAATTAGGCATGTTCCCTCTCAGTGGGACAGAGCAGCCTGGGGCAGGAAGGGGCAGGAAGGGGCAGCAGAGGACTCCCGGCTCTGAGTGGAATCAGACACGGGAATTTCTGCTGGAAACAACAGCTATTCACTAAATGTAAGGGAAAGATGTTTAATCCATTACTTGGGGAAAACCCCGGGAGAAGGAAAAGACAAATGCGTGAAGTGAGAGGTCCTCTCCCTGCTCTGTTTTGGATCAAGCTGATTTTTTTTTTCTTCGGAAAGCAGGATTCTGTCATTTCAAGCACAAACCCCTGTCAACCCATCACTCTGGCGTCTCCCAAGACAAATCCCCGTCCAGATGCAGCAGCACCCGCGCCATCACTCAGCCGCCGGCTCCCTCCCTCTCTCTGGCGGGCTCCCGTCCTGGGAATTAAAGTGCCTCAAAGCAACGCAGGAAATAATAGGCACGCTTTCAAAGAAATAGGCTTTTGTACATAAAGCAATTCTAGAGGGCAGCTGTGTTTTTCATTTTTCTGCAAGCCTTTGTATTAACTTGCCATAGTCTTTGAAGCAATATATTAACATTTGAAATTCTTTATGGTCCTGAAGCACACCATAGCTCCTATTATAAAATCATCCTGTGACCATGAGCCAGGAACCACAGGCTGGAAGGAACATCGGGTTTCCTGGAGTCCTGCTCCCATCCCAAGAACAGGTCCCAGTGCTTGGCTTCAAATCATGACTTGCATGGGCTGCTAACATATAGCATGAGAGAGAGTAAGGGGGTGGTCTGTGTTCAAAGAGGAGAATGCTTTCTGAGGTCAAGTGCACAGACATGGTCACTAGTCAGATTGCCTGGTGGTCGGTGCTCCCCCTGTCCAGGTCTCCCCCACCACACACCACAGTTCTGCCCTCTTGCTGGATGATTACAACAGCATCCTGCATTAAAAGAATAAAGATGAAAGAGCCTTCTTCTGCCCAAATTCCCTCCTCTAAGAGCCACTGCCCTCTTCTCCTGGCAACAATAGCAAACTCCTGGGTTTGGATTCAGCCTCCAGTCCTGCTGTCCCCCTAATCTGCCTCCCATCCCCTCCTCTGCTGCTGCTCTTAGTGAGTCCCCATGACCTAGGGACCCATCTGCACTCCCTCCTGGAGCCACTCACTCTCCATCCTCCCAGGCTTCCCCCCCCCACCTGCTCTTCCTCGTCTCCTTTACTGAAACTCCCCAAGGTGGGGACCCCAGGTCTGGGCGTCGGCCTCTATCCACACTGCCTCCCATGGGAATGCCTGCCAGTTCCACATTCTAAATGCCATCAAAACAGTGAAGACTCTGAAATTAATGTACACTGCTGGATCTCTCCAGCCTCCCAAAAAGTCCATCTCCATGTTTTTTCTGGTCCCTAAAGGCTATCAGATGTGTTTGACCCTGAATACCTATCCTCAGCCCCCAAACCTTCCCACCCACCATGGTTCCACCAGAGTTAAAGGTCACCCCAGCAACCCTGTTACAATGGCGTTCCCCTACATGCCTTCCTCCAGTCTGCTGCCTCTCCCTTCTGAATGCAGCCAGATTCTCACCACCTCCCCACAATCCTGCTACCACACCTGGACCAGCCCCACCATCTCTCACCTGGGCTATCACATCAGCATCCTGCCTGATCTCGGTTCCACAGTCACCCTCCACAGACTCCTCTGCCCACAGTTCTCTGTATCCTAAGTCAGATGGTATCACTCCTGCTTAAACCTTCCTCAGCTCGTGTATCATTCAGATCCCATGCAACCCCATCTGTAGGCTGCTCTCTGGTTTCACCTCCGGCACTCTTTCCCTATGCCCTCTGCTCCAGTGAGCTTTCCCACATACCAGCTGCCCCTGCCATGCAGCCTTTGCACTGGCTGTTCCCCAGACCTGCACACATTTCCCTGTGCTTCTGTAACACTCCAGGTCTTTGCTCTGTTAAGAGACAGCAAGTCCAGCACAGAGCCACTTGTCCTAAGTCTCAGATCAGCAAACCAAGACTAAACACCAACCTAACCTTAGTTCCAACCACCCAGGAATGTGACCTTTAACCTGTCAACCTGGAATTACCTAAATAATCCTCCCAATAAATGCCTTCCTTTTCCCTAGAGGTCATCTTGCATGAAACAATGCATTCTTTGCAAATAATTACCTTTTTTCATCCCTTTTGCCTTTGAAGACTTTTCTACAGCTTGGCCAAGCTCCTTTCTATTTTCTGCCTGATTCTTGAATTGTTGAATAAAGCCAATTTGATCTTCAAATTTACTCCACTGAATCACTGTCATTTAACAGATGGGATGGTACTGTCCTGGCAAGGTCGATCCTAACCACATTACATAACTTCCAAAATTCAGTGTAAGTTTCTTCTCTCCTGATCTTCAGACTCCTTCCCTGGACTGTAAGTGCCCCAAGAGCAGGGAGATTTTTACCTGTGGCCTTCATTGAGTCACCCCAAACCCAGAGATTGACAAGTAGCACACGATTATAGTTGAACACATTAATAAATGACTGAATATATAACTCATGCAAAAAGTAGCAGGGAACCACGTAACATTTCTAAGCAACTGTGTGCAGTGGTCTAAACTGTACTACAATTATAACTCAGGTGGCCAAGTGCCAGCTTCCTGGACAATCTCAGATGATGTCAATCACTTGCAAGCACATCAAGTCTTAAGAAACATGCACTTTATCTTCAGGGAGTGAAAGGCACACCTTCATCTATCTTACTCAGGTTCCTTCCCAGCCCTCTCCCATCCCTGCTAATCAAGCACGATGGTGGGTAGGAATGGAAACGGACCGTGTGGGCCATCTCAGACTTTCTGTCAAGCTGTTTGCAGGAACGTATGTTTTTCTTCCCAACACACCTTTCTGGGAAGCATCCTGTGCCAGGGGATGAGCTCCCCTCTTCCTCCTGTGAACAGGAGGGGAGGGAATAAGCAGATTCCCATCCCCTCTTCCAGGGTGGGCATCACAGCATACTTTGGGGATAGAGGCTTTCAGAGTGAGGTTTTCCTGAGAGTCACCTAAAAAAGACAGCATCCTGAAAAGAGGGCTTCTCCAAGAACCTAAAACAGGTCATTAATTTTCACACCTTGCTATTTGGGTTTGTGTGCAGTTTCTGTGCATGACACCTTGCTGAGGACAGCCTTCTTCGTGATCTCTGCTCCTGGTGCTATCACCTCCAAGAAAAACAATTTAGGAGCAGAAGAGCAATAGTTGAAAATGTTCAAAGCCAAAACTGTCATTGCTTTGAAAGGAAAGAAAAAGCTCTCATTTTACAAAGAAGAAGGTTAAGAGGTTTACCAGTGATTTGCATAATGAGGTGGCCCTGGGTTAAAAGGACCCCATCTCTTTCTTCCTGACCCTTTGTTCTCCCCACTTCATTCAGTGAGTCAGCCTTTGATCCTGCCAAATGGGAAGGCTCTTCCCTCCTCACCACCCTCATTTTTATCAGACTGTGCTGATGAGCTACATGGAGGACATCAAGACAGGATGGAGTTAGGATGTGGAGCCTCCCTTCTGAAAGCGTGGCCAGCCACCTGGCTTCTGCTCTGCAGTGCGCCACTGGAACTGCCTGCCACCCACGCTCACACCGAGCAGACCCCATGTGGTCCCTCTGATGCCACTGGAGCTGCCTGCCACCAGCTCTCACACTGAGCAGACCCCACATGGTCCCTCTGATGCCACTGGAGCTGCCTGCCGCCTGCCTTCACACCAAGCAGACCCCATGTGGTCCCTCTGACACCCTCCCTCAGGGACTTGCTTCTTCCTGGGAAGTCTAGAAAGAGCAGGAAGATTATGAACCCCTGCAGCTTGGGTCCTATAGTGTGGGCATGGAGGATGCCACAGCCAGGCCCTAGTCCCAGAAGGCAAGGAGGACATGCCATTAGGAGCAGAATTCATGAAGGCAGAGCTCACAGCCCAGCAATAGGCTGGAAAGCTTTTCAGCATCAGATGTTGCACAGGCGTGAGAGTCCCAGGTGGGTCACATCCTCCTCCACTTCGTAAACCCCACCTGCTCCAAGGTCTATGGGACTGTCCAAGTCTTGTCCCTCAGCTGCTCCAGCCCTTGGCGGGAGAAGGGACAATCAGCCCCCACCCCCTTCACACAATTTCACCTTATTAGATCAGTGGCACACAGACATTTTTTAAGGATTCACCCTGAAGAGGAAATAACCTTCGTATTTCTATAGTCAGGTGGGAGCCATCTGGAGTCAGACATGCAAAGTCCCTGTCAATATTGTTCAAATTCACTCTGAAGGGTCTTTAAAGCTACAGATTTCAGGTGTCATATTTGAAGTTCCACATGGTAATATTATTGCAACAATTATTCTTTAGGGATATAAAAAAAATGAACCATAAGAAATTAAAAGGGGATGGATTTCCTTTGCATGTTCTTTGGCATGGCTATAGAGAAGCTCCGAGATTTGTCCTACCCAGTTTTCTGATTGCAAAGCCCTTCCTTCTCCCTGCAAGTGGGCACATGGGGAGAATGTGGCTGATGCAGCTACTCACAGGTCGCTGGTGTGGCAGGGGTATGGGATGGCCTGCGCCTGCACTGCTGGCCCCACAGCACTCTGCCCTGTCTGTGCCAGGATGATGGCCCTTTCAACCATGTCTTGCAGAGGGACAAAGATGTAGTTGTATTTGAACCCACTGGCTGGTAGGCTCTGCGGATGGAACTTCCAAAGTGGGTTTTTCACCAAATCCGTTCTCATGCTGTATAAGACACTGGTCCGGATTGTGTAGGTGACATGGGGTGGCAGCTGGCCAGACTCTGACCTGAAGTTCTTGCCAACAAAGGAATTGTTGAATATGATACCTGATGGCAGGAAAGGAAGAACAATGGCAGGTTACAACCTGGCAGGGCCTCGCAGGATGCAATGCAGGGCCTATGGAAGCTGGATGGACCATGAGACCCTACACTGCCCTCTGTCTCAGAAGGGCACAAAGGCAGTGGGTGGTGAGTGAGATCAAGGCCTTCAAGCTCCTAGCCCAACACTTTTTTTATTTAGTAAGACCACACTGTGGTGTCACTAATACAAAGCAATTTGCATTTCTTGAAAAATCACACCAGGCTGCTCAGATAATCAGGCTACCCTTCTCAAGGATTACAGACACATTCCTAAGAATTGGTACCTTTAGGATTATCTGCCATTCAAAATGTAAACGTATGGATTCTGTGTTCTGGCATGCGGATTCTTTAGATTTCATATATAACACCTGTTATGGGTTGAGCTGTGTCCTCCCAAAATTCATATGTTTAAGTCCTGATCCCCAGTATGTCAGAATGTGACCTTATTTGGAGACAGGGTCTTTCTATAGGTAGTCAAGGGACAATGAGGTCATTAGGGTGAGCTCTCATCCAATTTGACTGGTGTCCTCATACACAGGGGACATTTGGACAAGGCGTGCATGGAGGGAAGGCAATGAGAAAGCCCAGAGAGAAGGCAGCCATCTGCACCATGGACAGAGGCTGGAACGACTCTGCCCTCAGCCTCAGGAGGTATCCCTGAGGAACCAGCCGCCCCCCCACCAACACACACACACACCCTGATCGTGGGCTTCTGGCCACAAGCATGGGAAAATAAACCTCTGTCGCTTAAGGTCCCAGTTTGTGGTCCTTTGTCAGAGCAGCCCTAGAAAACTAATACAAACCGAAAAATAAAAATAATTCAGTGTTTACCCAGAGTGAATATCAGACCACATCATATTTATCTGAAATAAGTGAACTATTAACAGAGGAGTTGAATTGGCTGTTTTCCTCTCTCTCCCCACCTCCAGGAGATCAAGAGACTATTATAAAAATCAAGTGATGGAGAAAACCAGAGGATAAATTTAACCAAGAAAAGTATAACTGATCATGTGATCCAGCCACAAAATGACACCACATACTAATAAAACTAGATGCAGTGAACATTGCTGGGCTGGGGTGCTAAGGGCGTCATGGACCAGGCCCACCTTCCCATCAGCTCCAAGTAACTCTCTGCTGTATATTATTTTATCTGGAAAGGGCTTCTATTCTTCCTGAGTTACTGTCAGATGCTTTTGGGAAGAAATATGCAAAGTGACAACCTATTGGAGCCTGGGCCTTTGTGAGCAGATTTCTGCCTTGAATACTTACTGGCCAACAAGCCGTTCTGCTGCAGGAGCTCATGCGCCTTCAACTCCAGGGCGGAGACAGACTCCAGGGCCTGGAAGCGGTTCAGCACCACACAGGACGACAGATTGACCAAGACACGGCCCAGGAAATGGATGCGTGTGGTGCCCACACTGGTCAGCACCTCATCCAGCATCGCTCCTGGGAGAGTAAACACAGGGGGCATCGCAACAGCACAGCATCCACGGCTGCTATGGTGGCGTTGTACAGAGAAATGCAGAGTCACACCTAAATTCCTTCATGAAGAAACCAGTCCAAAGAGTCTCATCTGTTCATGTGCAAAATTTGTTACATACTTGCTGCATGTAAACTCCACTTTGGGAGCATGGTCCCTGAAATGCTGAATCTTACACAGAAATGAAAAGGAAAGAGCCAATGCTCAGTGGATGTGGAACGGTGGCTGTTGGAGAGGACACACACTAGAGGGAAGCTGTGAGCAGCAGAGCAAAGATCCTCTCAGGGACATCGCAGCAAAAATGTCAGTGCTCCCACCTGGATGCAATGTTCCCACCTGGAAGCAGGACTCCCACCTAGAGGTGGTGCTCCCACCTCGAGGCAGTGTTCCCACCTGGAGGCGGTACTCCCATATGAAGACAAGCAGTTGTACAAATGTGCCTTCACTGAGGCAGCAGGCACAGTGCGAAAGCCATCCATCTGTAACATTAACTTCACAGAAACAGTAAGTAAGGTGCATTAACACAGGAAATCAAACCAGGCTGTGATCTCTGACCCAATGTGTGCATTTGAAATGGAAATAGAGCAGGAAATTAAAGGTGGCCACAACCTGTCATTGAAGCTGAGCATCAAACATTTTTCAGGACAAAATAGCAAGGATGTCTCAGTACTTTAGCTCTGGATTCTAGGAGGAGCTGGGCCACAGGAGAGACATGGAAAAACCAACTGTCCAAGAGTCAGGCAGTGCGGAAGGGCGCCCAGGACACAGCCCAGAGAGGTACAGTGGCCATGAAAGCTCTCGGGATCCCAGCTGAGGAACGGAGCCCCTCAACTTTGCTCTACCCACAGCCCCTCAGTGGGGGATGTCATCAAGGCCACACCATGCCCCTAGGCCTCACTTCTTAATGAAGTCCTGAGAGTCTTTAAAAGAATTAATCAGGAAATGGTGAACATACATGAGACAGGCTGACATGTTTTTACATACCCACAACATAACACAAACACACAGCAAATCAAGAAGCCATGGAGACAAAATTACAGTGGGGGGCAGCTGTTAGCCACCAAGTCATTTCCCCAGCCGCAGGGACCTGCTTATTCCAGTCCCAAGGAACAGGTGGACACCAGCTGCCTCTCAAACAGCACCTATAAAGGTGCAATTAGCTTCCATCCACTTGACCCAAATCTATCAGATTGAACAGAACCATCAGCTGGGACACATCAAGACAGAAAGAAATGGGAAAGTGTAACAAGACCCTCCTGAGAACGGCCGGCAACTATAGATGGCGTTTCATCTTTACAATGCCTTTTAATTTTGCCAAAGTGTACATGTGCTTTGTGGCGAGTGTTGACTGACCAACATTCTAGTTATGTCATGTATTATTTTGCTCTTAAATACATGAAGTCCATTCTCTACACAACAAATCCTGTTGCTCATTCCTGGGAGCACTGTAATCCCATGATTCCTCAGTAGCCCCGTGGACCCGGCTCCACCATCTGCTCCCCTGCATGTCCCAGGGGCAAGCAGCCCCCGTGAGTGAGGGTTTGTCACCATGGTATCCCCTGCTCCACACTCCGGCCTGCACACGCTGGATACCCAGTGTCAGCATCCAGTGTCCTGTGCAGAAATGGTCACACAGGAATCCCAGAGAGTCTTCAGTACCAACCTTGACTTGTTCCTTCTCCAAGGTCTGGGGCAGCCTCTCGCCTTTGCGTCCTGTCACTTGCCCTCCATTGTACAGCAGCAGATAATAAGCCCTCCCTGCCTGCCCTCTGTGTACAGGCACTGCCCTCTGCAGGCCCTCTCGTAGCTCTCTGACATCCCCAATGCTCCAGGCTGCCCAGTGACCTCCCCATGTGCCCGCTCCCCGGGCGCCCCCACACATGGCAGCATCAGGCCCACTGGACGCTGCCTCTGCGTTGTCACCTCCCTCCTGGGCCAGGCCTCCTGCTCCCACAGACTCCTGGCTTGCAGCATTTCTGGATCAGGTCCAGGCTCTGCCTGAATCTGAGGCAGCGTGGCAGAAGTGCACACCCCAGAGCCGGGGATGAATGAGAAACCACCGCAAGGTCCGTCCCTGTCATCCTGGAGCACGTGGACAAATCAGCATGTCCAGGTCTCAGCTTCACTTGGTAAGGGAAGAACATTCCATCACCAAATCCAGATGACTGGATGCATGTAAGGCTCCAAGCAGCACAGGGCAGCCGGCCAGATCCTCCAGCTGCTGGAGCAGCTTGCCCACCTGCACTGCCCACCGTTCCTCAAGGCAGAGGCTGTTGCTCATCATCGTGTTACTCTTTTGTTCCTGATACCAGGGAAAGCCCCGGTGCAAGGATTTGCAGGAGGCGCAATTCAGGAGGGCTGGATTTCAGATAACCCAGCTTTTCTACCTCACTAGGAGGATATTGAGGTGGCATTGTCTGTGTGTCAGTCATGTGCTAGGCACTATTCTGAGCACTTTTAATTATTTTTTCACTTTATCCATACATCTCTGGAGGAAACTGCTATTGGCACATTCATTTTAAAGCACAGAAATAAAGACACAAAGAAGTTAAGTTACTAGTAAGGTTTAAAACCACGATTCGAACACAGGCCTCAGCTTGGAGCCCATCCATTCTCTTACAACTATACCAGGCTGCATTTATATCAGGTGGAACTGAATGGAATGCAATTAACATATGTCAAAAGTACGTGAGCATCATCCTGCAGCCCTACCAACCAAGGTGCGGCCTACGCTTCTCACTACATTGGGTTCCAGTTCCACCTGCTACTGCAGGACTGTGAAAGCAGCTGGTCCCAGAGCCTTGGTTTCATAGCCTGTATTTTATAAAGAATGAAATCGTGTTGCTGACTCCCAGGGGCAGATCAAATGGAGAGAAACAATGGATATGAAGTCATTTAGTAAATGATTAAACAAACCAATTAAGCCCTGGAAGGCCAACACACACACTCATGGGAATAGCACCTTAATCCACAGCTTGGTGGGCCCCAAGGGTCTGGTTAAGCAGAGACAGTCAAACTGAGTCACGGAAGATAAAACAAACCCCTCAGTCATACAGTTAGGAAAAAATAGCCCAAGCCTGAACCAGCAAACAGCCTTGACAGCAGAAACACTGAATTGACACACATTTCATACCCCATAGAGTGCCAGGTGCAGAGATTTCCAAGGTTCCAGGTGGGAAAGGACCTTGCTGTTTGGATGACTGGAAGGATCACAGGATCTGGGTCACTGCTGCAGTGAGCCCTGCATCCACCACTAGGATGCAGTGGGGACACAGTGGGAGGGACACCACCACAGGGCGAGGAGAGTCTCACAGGAGGGTTCAGGTCATTGCCGTGTGGTGGGCATAGCGCGGCTTTCCCCAGGCACTGCCATGGAAGGCAAGCAGCAAAGACCAGTGGTGAGGCCCTCTCAATTGAACAGGTGATGGGGGTTTGCCTTAAAGGGCCCCTTGTGCAGACCTCGTTTGATATGCAGGTGGAGACTCAGTCTTGGCTCCCAGGGGGCCATCTATGGGCCTGTGGTCAGGCCTCCTCTGGGGGATACCCACTCTCCACACCCTAGTGGGTGGTATGCCTGCTTAATCCTCGGAACCTACCTTCCCTTTTTATGCAACAGGCATGATAATAATCTGCTCTTTGCTTTTTTTCCCAAAGATTAAATGAAATAATGTCTGCAAACCTTCTGGCACTCACTGAGCAAGCTAAGCACTCAATAAATGTGTCCTTGTAATCTGATCATTAAAATATTATATAAAATCCATTTCTAATAAAGCATAGAGAGGCAATGCTGCTTCATCTCACTGCCTGGTCAGATATTGGCTCAGATCACAGTGAGCAATCAAAACAACGTTCTGCACTGAGGGCCGACTTCCAGATTCCCCACCTCTGCCTGCAGCCCCCAGATGCACCCCAGTTCATCTCCTGTGGAGACACAGATGGCCAGGGCTGGACAGCTGGCTTGAACTGGCAGGTGTAAACCAGATGCCAGCAGTTTTTAATGTTTTCTCATCCGTCACCCTAGCTGGTGGACCGGATGTGTGGGGCGTGCTCATGAGGTATACGGTCATGCCTCTCAAGTGTTCCTGGCCAAGGACCATGGGACTGGTGCAGGAGGAGAGTGAAAGGGGAGGGGAGTGCAAGAAGAGGTCCTGAAAGAGCCTTTCTGAAAAGAAAATTATGTGAAATGACTGATCTTTTTCATGGAAATTTTATATTCTGCTGATCTATTCCTCCTTCAGTTTAGTATAGATAATGTTCCATTTTCCCCCAATTTGGTGGGCAATGCATCAAGTTACTCTGTGACACAATGTGCCCTGGCTCCTGACTAGGATGCATCTCTGCACCAGATTCCAGAGATGCCATGTGGGCTGTGAAATGCCACCCCAAGGGGCTGGCAGTCATGAGGTGCACAGTGGCCGTGATAGATGCTCCTGGGGATTCCTCCATGGACAGGGGTGGGCAGGGGACTCTTCATGACAGTCAACATTGATGGACATGAAAAACCTCTGGAATGCTCAACTTTTAATGAACAGGCTGCAAAATAATATAGACAGTATGATTGATTCCATGAAAATACAAACACTGATGGTCATGTGAGCTGTATAAATCCATCTGAAAAGTTACCACCAGGGTTTCTAGCTGCATCTCTGAATGATGTGATGGGTAGACGTTTTTCTCTGGTTTGTTTGTATGCTCTCATGTTGCTACAACAGACATAAATTGCTTCTGTAATGAGCAAGAAGTTATTTTTTTTTAAGTTGGATAGTGAATTAAACTCAAGAGCCTCACTGGGTAGATGCTCCCAGGAATGGCATCCATTGATCTCCACAGAGTCATTGTTGCCCGTCTCCAGATACTGGTTGTAGGATGAGGGAATGGGTGCCTAGCCATCGATTTTAAAGAAGGCATGGAGTAAGGTACTTAATTATTTTACTAGGATGCTACAAAAGGAGATCTGTGCCTACGGGGGTCGACTGCCATGGACAGTGCCTACCTCACTGGGCAGGGCCTGATGGAAAATCACCACCTTACACGCCACCAAGAGAGGCTTCAGTCACGGGCTTCAGCGGGGGCAGGAAGGAGGAGGAACCACGCTGGACGGGTCTCAATTCTGTGTGAACCACACTCTGCAGATAAACCCCACTCTGCATGTGAACCCCACTCTGCATTTTGGCACATTTGTAGGAAAAGCTCATGGTCTGTTTCAGGCACAGATCTTTCCCTTAACTTTGTAATAGGAGTTCACAGGGGTGAAGCCCAGCCAGGAGCAGCGTGGTTCTCAGGGAGGTGCTGACGGGGTGTGTGGTCCTCTGAGAACCATGTGGACACCAGCAGGACCGCAGAGGCAGGCGGACAGGGGCCTCGGTGCCCCGGATGCACAGCCTCTCTGATCACACCATCCTGCTCCCACCACACGAGTGGAAAATCTGTACAGCCAGCCTCCCATCCTACTTCAGTTTTTTTTTTTAAGTGTGTTTTAGTGACTTGAAAACATGACTTAAGGGAGTAACATTTATTTTTAAATATTACTAACCCTTCTAAAGTAGTAAATTCACCATTTTTTTCGTGAGTATCACAGCTAATAAAACGCCTTGCCCTCTGCCAATCCTTGTGCTCCAGGCAGAAGCTAGCCCTTCCTTATGTGCACATAGAAGCCCAGTGCCAATGACCCAGCAGGGACCCTTCCTCCACTCCTGTTCTGCCACCCAGCCAGGTTAGCCCCTTGCAGGACCCCTGGAATGGGCCTGACAAGCCCTGACTTGGCAGAGTGCCCCTGTCCCCAGACACAGTGGTCTGCAGCACTCCGGACAGGCTCTCCAGACCCCTGCACAGGCCAGACTCCCTGTGATCTGAATGAATTCATGGATTAATAAATTGTAAAGACACAATGACCCTTTGCTGGTGGACAGATTTTTTTAATCTGAGCTCCACATTCTCAAATCAGTGTAACTGCTTTCAATTGACTATTAACTCAGTAATGATAGTTTCTTTTATAAACTTATTTTATAACTCACAGTTCTTGTATACCAGTGAGAAGCTTTCCTCTTTAACTGGGTTCCTTACTATTCAAGCCCTGAGTTAACAAATTGGAAAATTTCAGTTATGAACTAAATTTGTAATGTGTCTAATCCAAGCCCTTTGTTCTACAGATGAGGACAGAGAGGGGGCGTGAATGCCAGCATCGCCCAGACATTTGGGGTCTAAAGCATGAGGACCAGCAAAGAGAGCCAGTGGGGTATGTGGGCTCTACCATACCCATCCACTCACCACCCTTATACACCCACCCACTCACACATACACACCCACACCTGCTTACATGTATACACTAACACACTCATTTACACACCCACATACCGTATCTCTGGAGCTTTTCAGTCAACTGGTCCACATCAATAGGCAACTGGCTTTCTATAAAGTTTTTTATAAATTTGTTTCTTAGGGCTTCCTAAAGGAAAACAGTATCATTTAGTAAAAAAAATTTCATCATTTCCTGTTACTGAATAATACCTGTCAGGTGTATTCAAAGTTCTGTTACACAGGAGAAAAGCACATAAAATGAATCACCTTCAACGAGGTTCTAAAACATCATGTTAAAAAAGTAAGAAAACATTTGATTAGAAATTGATCTCACAAAACAAAGGTAACAATTAGGACAAGTTAGGTGATAATTGCCATATGCACTAACACTGAAAACAGAATGAAGTAAGTGTTGACTCTCTGGAAGAATTTCCTAACAAAACTATACGGCGGCCCTTTCTACAAGGTCCTCTGCTCTGCCTCTTCCATAGGCCAGTTTTACAGAGGGGACGTCCTTTCACTGTAGAGGGTTCCAACTGCGCCTCATTTGTCAGTGGTTTTACTATGAATCTTCCAAGATCATTTCCAACAAACAAGGAAATCTCGTGTCTCTGGTTTGCAGTTGGCACATGTTTGCTTGCCGTGTGTCACCACACACGACACCCAACAAAGTCGAGGCTGGGAGAAATGTCCTGTAGTGAGGCCGGAGCCAGGGACTCCATCGGTTCCCTAGAGTATTCAGTGCTGCCCTGCCTTTCCACACAGCCTCATCCCCTGGAGACCTCTGATGAGGAAACCTCAGGGAACTCCCGCCCTCCGCATTCAGCCCTGTACCTCACATGGTCTTAGGGATGGGGTGGCTTTATTGACTTGGTCTACAGGTGACACGACGTCATCATGAAACCTTGGTGTATGCTTTTGTATTTTGGGGTCTTATTCATTGTTTTTTATCGGGCAGTAGCTATGTGCAGACGCTGGGCATATACTTCACACGTAATAGCTTTGCAATTTCGGCAGCATCTCCCTGAGTGATGCAGACAGGCAGCCAGGCCGGGGCATCACCGAGGGCCCTGGCCCAGTGCTCTAGTGTCAGAGCCGGCCTAGATGCCGGAGTCACCCACTGCAAGTCCAAGGGCACTGCTGGCTGTCCGCAAACATGATCCAAACACTGGGAAACGGGGCTTAACAGCCCTCTTAACCCTCCTGGATAAAAAGTTCAAGGAATTGAAGATGGGACTCTGATTTCTAGGCTCAGTTCAGCCCTAGACTTCTCCAGGAAACTCCTGATGCCTGGGGAGGAGCTCAGCACTCTGTAACATTCTCATACTATTTTGTAGAGACTCAGTTTGCTGTTTATGATATTGCATGTAATTGTTTCTTGTTGCAGCAGAGATTTTCCCAAAACCTGTTTACAATCTGACCTGTTACAGAGCAATCCTGCTTATCCCTGTAGTAACCAATTAATCCATGAGCAAATGAAGACTACTGCAATAATAGAAAGCACTTAGACAGCTGTTGCTGCCATGACAATGAGCATCATAGACCTTCAACTACCAGCGAGGGACCTGGTGGGCCCCAAGGCTGTACTCAGAAATCCATGTCAGCTTGCCCTGGGGCGCCACCTCCCGCAACTGCTCCAGGCCCTGTCTAAGGAGCTGCAGGATGCCCCGTTGGTGACTGATGTCCACTCAGTGACGTCACATGCACTACGTTGCCGGGCTGTCTCAAATATTCTCACCTGACCTTCCTCTCTCTCTCCATCTCTCAGGGTCAGATTGACACTGCTGTTGATGACTGTAGTCCTATCTTCCCATCTCCCTCTTCCTCTCGCTCTTCCTCTGCTGTGCTGTTAACCAGAATAAAACCCCTGGCAAGTGTAATCCTGTTTTAACAGCTGCTTCTGGGAGAATCCAGACACACAAGCACCTCCTGTGAGCCAGACGCTATTCCAAGTGCTTCTGCATCCCACTGGCTAGGAGTTCTGTAGACTCTGCCAAAGGGCCGCTATGAATTCCCAGACACGCCCCAGCAAATATTCCCACAGCCTCTCGTGTCAAAGGGAGCTGCCACTCACCTGTAGTTGGCTGAGCATCTGGCCATTTCCACTGTTCTGAAAAATGCTGGACATTGTCAGCAATGTTTCTGATAAAGTCTTCAGCTTGTCCACAAAAAGGAAAGTATAATTTGCCTGCAAAATAAAGCCTATCTCGTTATGTGTCTCATTCAGCTGTGCTGCACTGGGAAGATTCTTCAATGCTGCAATGGTTATAACAGGGAGGTGAGAATTATATACATGACTTGGCCATCAAACCAAAGACCTGTCCATGCCACCTGCAGGCTGGCAGACATACCCCCCCAGACAAGGTGATCAGTGCCCATGCCCTCATAGCCAAGGTGAGCCCCTGAGAACTCCCTTCCAGCCTCTGTCCATTGGGTTGCCCCCTACCTGTTCACCAAGCTGTCCCCAACATTTAGCTTTCTGTCAGTAACAGCAGATAACCTAAGGACATCCTGACTAAATAAAACAACGTTTGCACATGTTTCCTCCTTAAAAACATGTTCTCAACTATATCCATATATTTATTTTATGCTACCCAATACTACTGCAGATAGAGTAAAACTGGTTGTATATTATTTATTGCTGCTGGCAGAGCAAATTGACACAAGATTTTTGTAAAATAATTTGGTATCATAAAAATATTCATAAGTCACCCACCCACAAAAAGTACTTTTTCTCTAAAGATAAAAGGACTCAAACCTAGGGAAATAATTTCATAGAAATATGAAGGTATATCCATGAGAATGTCTTTCACAATATTAGCACAGTGTTAATACAGATAATAGTCTATATGCCAAAAATACCAGACTAAGGAGGGTTTAGAGTACAACCACACATACACCCACCACCCCTGGACCTCATAATGGTGCAGGTTCCACCAGGTCAGGAGCTGAAAAGCAACCCCCGCAGAGGAAGAGACACCACCTGGTCACTCGTGCTATAAGCCCAAAGACAGGGCAAAGCCCAAAGACAGCCCAGGCACCATGGACTGCCCCTCACCCTGCATCTCCCCCCAACTTCTTTGACACCAGTGTCTGACACAGGAAAGGAAAGCTGTAGCCAGTCTAAACTTTTCCCTTCTGCCTTCCCGTGAACCCCAGAGACCTGGACTCACACAATGTCTGTGTTATTTCCCACCTGGGTAAGCATGATGCTTGATTTTTAAGGATGAGCGAACTCAGGAAAAATACCAGTGGGCGCAAGAAATGATCCTCTAGTCAAAAGACAGGTCAACATATGAATTGGACTCAGGGTCTGTATCTGGAATTGACTGACTGGGAGACAGGAGAATATGGGGAAAACCTCCACTCTGTATTTCCCAGACTAGTCAAGGAGAGTCGAGAAGGTTGAAGAAGGGACCACCCACGTGAGGAGAGGCCATTGAGGAGTGCGCACCAGCTGCTGGGTTCAAACAACAGCACTGCAGGTGGGCAGGCTCCTGCAAGCACTGAAGAGCCAATTGTTGCACAGAGCAAACATGTGGTGCTGTCTCAGCCCTCAGAGGACAGCCAAGAGACAAAGCAGGACAGATGCTAGAGATCTAAGCCAAGGAGGATACAAATCCTGGGGGAGAGGGGCCAGGGTAGAGTCAGTAAACAGAGAGGAAAAAACACACCACTGCTGACAAATGTCTCTGAGCCTGTGAATTTAAAGACCATTTCTTATAATTGACAAAATCATAAAAAACAAACTAATGCCTAATATACCCTGTAAAGCTTAGAATCCTAATTAAAAGACTAAATATATAGGCTTCAAGGAATACACAAGAAGCTTTTAAGAAGGAACAAAAATTAACATTGCATCAGGCGACTTCTCTGCAAAGGTCAGTCAACAGTGAAGCAGAATCTACAGTTTTGAGAGGAAAATAAGGTAAGCCCAGAATTCTCTGTCCAACTAAGCTGTGGTGCAAAGGTAAGGACCACAGAAAGCCATCTTCAGATAGCCAAGGAGGGAGAGATTACAGGACCTATGAATGCCGCTGAGAACGTTACTCAGAGACAACCTGAGCAGAAGCTAAATCAGCATTATAAAAACAGGTATTTCTTTATACAATCAAAATGATAAGGAACCACGAACTAAATAAAGAATTACCTTTAAATAATGGCTAATTAAGTCCTATCTTTAATCTTAATGCCAATAATGATCCTTGAAAGAAAAAAATTATAAAAATTATGATACAAAGTTATAACAGGAAATTTATAATAAAAATTCTAGACACCAGTTGCTTACTATGATGATGATAATTGTTAAGATAATGCAAATCTCTCGGATTCCAGTCTCTGTCAATGAAGGACAAAGAGAAAGTGAAGGCGTGCAAACACTCCCATCTCACAGAGCAAAGAACTGATGGGGTGTTAATTCTGGAGAGGGTTAGCATGATGTTGAAATAAAGAAGGGAGCACAGGAGAAAAACAGATTCTAGAAAACAAGTGCCTTGGGCAAAAGAGAGAGAAAAGGATGGACAAACACAAATGTGAGAACTGTATAGGATGACAGAAATAACACTACACTCACCAGTTTGGCAATAATGCTGGGTAGGTTAAGAACAACCTGATACAAAGGCTGAGCTTTTCAGACTCATTTAGTTACATTATTTAGTAAAGTTTTACTGAGGTCCTCGGAGACTGGCAGGTGCAGGAGGTGCTCAGAATGTAGCCATGCACAAACCAAGACCCTTTTCCTATCTTAGTTAAGATTATGTCCTCCTGCAGAGACAAAGTTCATCAATGTCAACTGTATTTCTAACTGGGACAGAAAATAAGAGATTTTTTAAATCAACCAAAAAAAAATAGCTAGAAATGCTAATAAAAAACAAAATCAAATTCATGGCAGAAATAATAAAGGCCACAAAGACTTCTGAAAAAACTCACAATTTACAATGATTACAACATAATATTACGTATACAGTAACATATCATTAAAATACATGAAGTAAATATGACTAAAAATAAGAAAAGAATTTGATAAGAACTGAAGAGGAGGAGACATTAACACACTGCACTGAGCCTTTGTGAGACAAGGCAGAGAGTACTTGAAAAATCAAGTTGTGAACTAGACCCCCTGTTTTGGGTTAAAACCCTGGCTCTGCTGTTTATTTGCTGCAAGATCTGAGCCAAGTTATTTTAATGCTCAGCTTCAGGCCTTAAGAAAAATGGAGGCAGGGTTATTATGGTATTAAATAAATTAATATTCCAATGTCTTGGTACCCAGCCTGGCACATAGTAAGGGCTCAGTATCACCTGTGTCAGTCAAAACCGCACACAGAGAGGCAGTTTGGATGGTGTTACCACTGCAACCAACTGAAATTTTTAAAACAATCTTAATCTACAGACAGAGAACACACACTCACCATATGTGTGTGTGTGTATATATATATATGGTAAATAACATGTAAGTATATATAGTTATATACTATATTTACATATAGTAGAACACAATGCGAATATTTATAAATATATGTTTACATTTATATATTTACATATATGTACATATATATTTCATATAAACATGTGCTGAACCTTACATAGGTTAAAATATCCTAATTCATCCTAGGAATACATACCCTCATTTTTCAGATATAGAAGAAAAATTTACCAGAACTAATAATATGCTAAGGCACAAAGAAATTGCCAATAAAATCCTAAAATATGCTATTTAGATATGTATCATAAGATTAGAAATTCTTAGCAAAAGTTTGTGAAAACACATTTTAGATTAACAATTAAAAAATCTTAAATATTATCATAAAATAATCCTTGAATTATAGAACATTATTTAGTAAATTATTATAAAGAAATAACAATAAGGGAATTAGTTAGAAAAATATATAAAGACAAGAGCTATTTTCCTAACAACAAAATATAAAATCTCTGCAGTTGAATTTTAAATTATTTGCTATTTATTAAAATATTAGGTTGCATCTAAATATTAATGTTCAGTATTAAATTTAAATATTCCAAACAATTGAAAACACTAATACTTAAATAATAAAATAATTTGATAATATTAGAAAACAAAGCTACCAAATATGAAAAATCCTAGATAATATCCATAAGGGAATGTTTTTAAGCAAAAAAATACCATCTCTATGATCATAGATTCTAAAATCTCAGTGAAACATATTTTTTAAAGAAATGAAAAATCACCAGTAAGGTGTAGAAAACCCTCACAAGGAAGCAGAATGTGAGCTGCATCCCCTGACTGTTAAGGTCTACAAACGATGACCAGTAGCAACACGCCACCCCAGCACCACAAGTGTGCTCGCCAAATGCTGTTGTCGTTTCAAAGAAACCAGAAGTTTTTGGAGAAGAGGCTGACTCCAGGGTGGAGGTGGGGAACAGACAAAACGTGCCTGAGCATCTCATTCTACCACACACAGGAGAGCCGTCAGAGACTCCTAGAGTTATGTTAACAGGACCAAGAGAAGAGGACTTGTCAGACAGTAAACTCACATCTCTCCGCCCCTGCCTGCTAATACCTGCACCCGGCCTGGAAACCACGCAGGAGGCCTCTACAGAGAACAATGCAGAAGGAGGAAGGCAAGGTGGCCAGGGTCCCCAGGGCTGTAGGAACAACACAGCAAAAGGGTGTCTTATGACCTCTACTCAACAGGAGCTGACCCAGACCCTGTGTTTCCCAACCAACAACCTAGCAACAGGAGGCAGCCAGGTCCACACCCAATGCACCAGGACTCCTGCGCAAATGCCAGCAAAGGGCACAGTAAGGACACTTGCTGACCATAAGCGGTCAGGGAAATCGCTCTTCTCATTCCCAGGAGGACAGAGGGGACTGGGAGGACCAGAGAGGGAGATCTTGCCATACGAGCACCCAGCATACGCGGGAGACAGTGGGAACAGTGGGAGGTGGTGGCAGAGGGCCACAGCAGGTGGCCTGACTTGGACGCACTCGCTACCCCACAGCAGAGGGCCCAGGCACAGCAAGGTCTGGCCTGCAGCTCCTCTCCTTCTCCAACTGCCCGGGACTCTCTCCTCACGTGGAGGCCCTGGAAGCTGGGCCTGGAGGAAGCCCTCTGTGCCTTCAGGCAGCAGCACCAGGGACCAGTGGCAGCTTCAGAGGCACCAGGTAAACCAAGCAGACTAACACAACACCACAAGGTGGTGACTGAACTG